ACCATTCTTGCATTTGGAGCCAGTCAGTAAAACTGGGGGTCACCCAAACACAGCACCAGGCGCAGACAGGTACAAAGCAACCACTGGGCAGGTAACATATACAGTATGGATCCGCTGCCCAGGGTGATTCTGGTCCAGGGCAGAACACACAGGACCGAACGCTGGGAAAACACGTGACTTGTTCACTTATGGAATCTTCCATTTGCTGTCTTGCAGAGGTTCCTGTGGATAACAGAAATCGGGGATCGGGGCAATACCATCCTCACCAGGTTACCTCACATACGCATAGGATGGTTCACTTTACCCACTGATGCGGAGGACGTTTAACAAATCAAATCACGTGAGCTAAAGGGAAGTTGTGCAGTAACCCAGCTGTGAAGAAAGCGCCTCGTCCGGTGCTAGGGGAGGGCCCGTACCCGGTCAGCGTCTCCAAGAAACCCAATGTCTGATTTGAAATCGCGGCACACTGGGGACGCACTTCTGAAACGTGAACCGAGGGGTGTCGTCCTCGAGGCGGAGATCGCCTGAGGAAACGGTCTTGCTAAGCTCAGGGAACGGAGCTAGAGGCCTCCAGGCCAAGTCCTGGATTCAGGTGATCCCACCCGAACCCCAGCAAAGGGAGCGAGAGCCCTTGTTCCAGCCCCCTCCCCTCCCGCGCCCCACCCGCCTGCGGGGAGTCTGCGAATGGACGCAGGGTAGGCCCTGTCCTTCAGAGAGAAGACAGCGCTGTGGTCAGTCCCAGAGCCGGCAGAGACACTGCCTGTTACGAGAGTCGGCTCCCTGTCCTCCTTCACGCACCCTAACCCCAGCCCCCAGCACACGTGGATTCCCAGTGGCCTGCAGCTGCTGCAATGCACGGGACACACGAGAATGACATTCCTCACGATTCAATAAGGTAGAATTGCATTTCGATATCTTCAGGAGCAGAACTGAATCAAAACACGTGCGCGTTGCCGGGGAGCCTGTGGACGGGGACCGGGCTTCTCAGAACCCACAGGTGGAGTGAAGGAGAGCAGAAGATGGCAGAGGGGCTTCTGGGGCCTCAGAGTCCCCATCTCCAGCCCTCGCCAGGCATCAGGTGGTGTCCTGATGACGGCCGCTCCAACGGGGAGTGAACCACATTTTCCTGATGGCTACTGATGCTGAGCATTTTTATCATATCTACCAAAGGAAATGACATCACCATCCCAGAGAGACACCTGCACACTGGGCTTATCACAGCTCTATTCATAACTGCAAGGATGTGGGGTGGGCCTAGGGCCTGTCCACAAAGGAAGGGACAAAGGATCTGTGGAGTCTCTCCACACTGGAGTACTAGTCAGCTCTGAAGAAGGATGAAATCCTGCCATTTGCAGCAAAGGGGTGGAAATGGAGGACATTATGCTGAGTGAAAGACTCAGGTTCAGGGGGACAAGCACCGTGAGGGCTCTCAGAGGCAGAAGCTGAAACAAGTGACCTGTGTGCAGAACAGCGTTATTGGGGACTGGGCAGGGCAGGAGGGGCTGGATTCCATCAGTGCGTGCTGTCTGCATGAGTGGAGACAAGTGAACCCCACTAATATGCACGTCTGATAAGGCTCAAAAACACGCTCTAAAAAGTTCCTATAAGTAATTTAAAATCACTAAACTGTACGCAGAGGACTCACAGTTTCCACCTAGGATTTGGGGCTTAAGGGGGTGATTCTGAGTTGGATGCCGGCTCTAAAACCTGCTGAGACTCACGTGAAAACCCCACAAGGCAGCACCCTAAAGGGCCCGGCACTCAGGATCCGGGGTGGCTGCTAGCCTGCCACATCTGTGGGTGACAGCACCGCTCTTCCTGGCTCCTCCCGTTTCCAAGGCAAGAGGGTCCCTGGTGCCCGCTGCTCGGCCCTTCTGAAGACAGCCGGGCCCTGCCCTCTGTGTGGCTTCATGGGTGTGGTCACTCTGCGGTAAACACCCTCCGATGTTACAAACTTGCAGGGTGCAGCAAACACAGCACCGGGCAGTGGAGGATTCTGCCTGGGCTCTGGGGCCCTGGGGAGGTGACAGGGCCCCAGGCAGCCCGGTGGCTCTGTGCATCTCTCTGGGAGCCTGGAGGGGACCCCGCCCACCTGTCAGTTCAGCAGCCATTCCCAGCATCCAGCCGCGGCACAGAGTACCCCACTGACACGCTAGTCCCCACCCCAGCTCTGTCTCCCTTAGACACAATCCACCTGTCACCAGGAGACCTAGAGCCTGGCCTGCCCTAGCCAGGGACGACGGAGAGTCCCCAGCACACATCCCACAGGAGGGGGAAGCCTAGGGTGAGGAACTGCGGGGGTGTGAAGAGGAAGGACACCCAGGGACAGGGACCTCAGGGAGCCTCCAGGTAAGGGAGCCATTCGCCCCAGAGGCCCCTGTCCAAGAGCGGCGGGGCCTCGTCCCAGGAAGCGCTCTGAAGGTAGAGCTGACCGCTGGGGCTCGACAAGGCCTTGGGAGGATTGCCGGGCATCCTCACCTGCATGACCAGCTGGTCCTCGGGTCCCGATAGGAGAGATGGAAGCACTGATGTCCTCCTTTAAACACAGAACCTGGTCCCCAGGGGACACTTAGCTGCCACGGGGAACCTCGTCTCCAACGTGCCCGGCTGCTGCTCCAACGTCTGCTGCCCATGTGAGCAGGTGTGTGCACCCAGATCCCTGAGCAACTGCAGCCCGCCCAACCCTTTAATCCCTTGGTTCTGATTCTCGGTGCCATCTGTGGACAGATCATGAGACAGTAATCCCAGAACAGCCATCGGCGTGGGCTCAGCGGAGTTCTAGCACCCAACCTAGGGGCCCACGTGGGGGGTGCTCTGCCCCCAGGCTCAGGATGGACCCAGATGACCGGCTCAGAAGGTGCTGGGCCCAGCTCGGTGACACCAGACCCCAGCTATCCTCCAGTCCCTGACTGTCACCTGGTGCAGCTGAGACCAGGGAGGAGCTAAAGTCCACAGCCCCTCTACCTGAGAGGACAGCTGGGTGCAGGCCTTAGAGAAAGGAGACCCCCAGCCCTCGGAAGCCTGGCAGGCAGAGCCCTGTCCCTTGTGAAGTCAAGGACACCTGGACTCTGCCTGTTGGCACTCAAGCTCCCAACGTCCCTTTCTTTTCATAAACTCCGAAGTTGCGCCCCTGCCTCCTCTCACTCCAGGACGTCCCCTGGGGACCCAGGTGTGTGTCCACACTCTGCAAGGCCTCTCTGGGAGGCCGGCCACCCCTCTCCAGTGCTGGTGAACCAGCCCACGTGCCTCCTGTGAATGCCAGGGACGGATGACCTTGGCTGTCCTCTGTGTGGTGGGCAGGGTGGGCAGCACGGGGCCCAGGGGACCCAAGCCCCTTGAATTCTGCAACGTCAGGTTGGGTGTGAGCCGGGGCGGACCTAGGGAGGGGTCAGGGACCCAGGAACTACCTGGACAGGGAGGGCAGGACAGATTAGCCCCCACCACTGACCTGTCACGTGGTCACATGTGGAGAAAGGCACAGAAAGCTCTCAGCACTTCCAGACCGCAAAGCTGGCAGTGACTAGAAAGGTAAATCCTGCCATCCGCCGCGTCCCCCACCCCCGCCAGTGGGCCTTAGATATTTTTCCCAGAATTGGAACACTGTGAATCCCTGGAAGGAGGGGGCCGGGTAACTGCCCACCTGGCAGCTGCGTGGCACCAGGCCCCGCCCTCTGCACAGTTAGCACAGAGATCTGCACCCCCAGGCCCTGTCCCCACACCAGAGGCCACAAGTGCTCCAGGGCTGCAGGGCCCCTGGGAGCAGCCGGGGAAGGTGAGCCTCGGCCACTGGAGCCCAGGACGAGACTGAGCCCAGCAGGCCCTGGCTGGGACGCGCCTCCTCCTGCCTCCAGGAGCAAACCCCCCTCGCTCCCTGTGTGTGGGCCGAGTGGCTCAGCGTGTGCCCAGGGCTCAGCGTGTGTCCTTGGCACCCCGGGCCACTGCTAGGGGTGCTTAGCTGAATCTTATGCCAATGGAAAAGTGAGACAATAAGAGGAAAAAGAGCCAAGGCTCAGGGGAGCTGCCTCCAGAGGAAACTGGCCCTCGGCCCCGTGGACGCTGACACCTACGCCCACTCCCAGGATGAAGGCTGCACCTGGCCGAGCCGCCAGGTAACCGGCAAGAGCCAACCCACACTTGAAACAGTTCCAGGAGCGCCAGGCCCCGGGAAGACACGCAATTGCCATGAAACATGTGTGTCACTAAGCTGCTGCCATGCAGGCTCCTCGACAAGAGGACACGTGTCCACACGTGGGGCCTCTGGCTGCCTGCGGGGAGGGGCTCAGACAGGCCCTGCAGCTCCACTCGGGGGCTCTGCGCTGGCCACAGCCCAGGCAGCCCACTGGAGAAGCCAGCCACAGGCCTGATTGACAGACCCAGTCGGAGGATCAGAGGCCACTGCCCACACTTTGAGTGTCCTCTGTGCCAGGTGTGGAGCCACGTGGCATTGCCTGCCAAAGAGAAATCAGGGAAAAGATACCAAAAACTATGTGATCTCCTTCCCCCCACTGATTTTTTAAAGCTACAGATAACACTGTGCATGTTTACGACGCGCGTGGTGTTTTGAGAGGCGGCGGGAGGGCTGCTGGTGCCCGCTCCCTCCCGCGTCACCTTGCGGCTACTGCGTTTGATGAGCCTCCTGAGCACTACCCCAGCACTCGAGGACACAGCATCTATCAGGACCATCGCCAGGCTGCACCACACCTGGAGAACCCCCTGCTCCCATACAGCTGAAATTCTGTGTCCCCTGACCCTCTGTGCCCAGCCCCTGGGGGCCATCGGTCACCCTCGGCTTCTGTAAATTCAGGTTTAAAATGCGGACACTCTTTAAAACTGACCAAGAGCAACCAACCAGAGCCAGGCAACAGGCAGTTTCCAAGCCCGGTTCTGGCGCAGTGGTCCTGGGATAAGGCCGGCTTCGGGTCCCGGGTCCCGGGTCCCAGGTTGCCAGGTGCGTGGCTTTGGCCATGATATTTAGCAGGTCTGAGCCTCGGTTTCCTCACCTGTAAACAGGGACATGCAGACCTGCATTCGGGGCCCTTGGTGCATTCTGCGAGGCTGCCAGACCCAGGAGCACTCAGAAAGCGGCAGCTCCTGCTCTCCACGTCACCTAAGCAGAGAAGGGAACAGGGAGCAAGGACGGGGTGCTGGGCCTCCACGGATGGCACTTGTTTTGCAGACTCAACCTTAAGATAAACAAACATCCACAACTAAAAACCAGAATTAAAGACCTCCAAAGCAGCCGTTGACACCAAAACCAGATTTAAAGAAAGGTGCCTGGGTGTGCCCAGGGTGCTGGCACACACCCAGGTGGCAGCAAACGACAGCCTATCACAGTGACTGGACGGCACGTCCCCCTGGGATCCTCTCAAATGACAAGGCACAGCTGTGGGTGAGGGTCTGGGCCGCCTCAGCACACAGCAGGGCCGGAGCAAGCTGCACGGGGACACTGAGGAGAAAGCACGGGAGGGGGCCGCTCCTGGGGCCGAGGGCTGCGGCCTGCTGAGGGGCAGGGTCCTGAGACCAGGAGGCTAAGCGGAACCCATCCTGCAGGACAGCAGGCAACGCCTGGGACCCACTGCCTGGTCAATGGCCCCCAGAGCTCCTGCACTGGACACTTCATGCCCATGCTAGGGTTGGACCAGAAGAGACATGGACACAGAGTAAGCCATTATCCAGGGAGGGGGGTTGTCCTGCAACACGGGGTGATTAGAGAAGGAGTCCAGCCCTCTCTGGCCTTCCGTCCACCTTCTGTGCATGGAGTCCCGGCCAGGGCTGGGCCTGCTCTTGAACTTCACACCTCCAGAGCCCTGGACAGATAAGTCTCTGCTCTCTAAGGATGACCTGGTCCCAGGTACTCTGCAGAAAATGGACCAAGACACTCACCATGTAAGTTAGCTTTAAAATACGTCCCTGCACTTGCGTGTGACCCCGGGTACAGGTTCCCCTAGAAGGATCCGGGCGTCACAGGAAATGTGGCTGATTCCGTGTCTGAGACAAAGGACAAACCAAACAACAAAAAATCCAATTTGCCAGAGCAGCGTGAAAATCTTGTCACAGCGTAAAGGAAGGAGTTGTCCCTGACCACGGGTCCATGTCAGAAGGACATAGGGATGATCTGAGTAAGATCCTGGTGGTTCACAAGGACAGGCCAAAGTGACCCCAGGCAGAAAAATGCTCCCACCAAGAAGAGAGCAAAACACAAGGCAGCGGTGACACCTCTTGGCAAGTATCAGAGACCCTGGAGCCCCCAGCAGAGGTGCCGGGGCTGAGGGACCGCTGCCCTCGGCAGACTGCACCCCAAGCCACTCCTCCTCTGGGACCCCACTGCCTTCCAGACTCGGGAAAGGACTGGTCCTTGGACAACCCACACCAGGTGCAGAGAAACCACAGGACACTTCAGCCATCGCTGGGCTCCAGAGGCAGAGACCGCAGACCTTCAGCCCAAGGCTGGCCGGGCGGGAGGGGCGGAGACGGAAAGAAGGGCCGGTCACTCTCCCTTCCGGGACGCTGTGAACTCTGCCACCGAGAGGGGTCCAGGCCAAACCCAGGCATAAGGACCAGAGTTCAGGACGCGCCACCGAGTGTCGCTGGCTCCCAGCGAGGGGGCAAGACTGGACCCCAGCGAGAGGGACAGGGAGAGGAGTCCTCCCAAACCGCAGCCGGGCTCCTCTCAGGCTCCGACTTGGTCAAGGGGAAGAGCCCCTGCTCTGGTCCCCAGCAGGAGAAAGACGAGGGACACCGCATCCTCGGAGCCTCCGCAGTCCCTCCACACACAGGCCCGACGTCCTCTGAGCGAGGGCTCCACCTCCCAGGGACAGCCCCACGTGTTGAAAAGCAAAGAGAAAAACCCACCAAGAGAAGCAGGCCAAGGATGACCCAGGCATGAGCGGGCGGCAGAGCGGGCTGGAGGGGACAGCTGACCAGAGGGGACGGCTGACCGGAGGGGACGGCTGACCGGAGGGGACAGCTGACCAGAGGGGAACGTCACCAGAGAACGGGGATGCAGAAGGGCCACCCACATGAGCTCCAGGCTCTACAATTACGGCATTAAAGGGGCAGTTGAGATGGAGCCTGAACTGACCACCACACAAACCCACTGCTCAAGAAGTTCTGTGAAGGTCAGCCAGAGAAGCGCGGGCTCTCTCGCTGCCTCTGGGCTCAGGGACACGGAAACCAAGGCGGGCTGAGGATCTCCACGGAGGGCAGCAGCCACCGTTGCCTGTGGTCTATCCACAGCAGTCCCTGGACACTGGAGAGCGAGCTGTCTAGGAGAGAGGAGGACACCACTCCAGAGTCCATACTGCACCAGGGAGAGGCCAGAGGGGGACACTCAGGGGCAAAATCAAAGCAGAGAGTCCCTCGCCACCTGGATTCTGAAGGAGGAGGAGCAGCAGGGTGCAGGGTGGGCGTCTCCAACTGTGGCCAAAGCTGGGGCCGCGGGGGACAGGCTGGCCTGGAGAACTGGAGATAAACACGATCCAGAACAAAGCTTTCTGTTCCACAGAACCACGAGGAAAGCTTATTCCTACAAGAGGACACCCAGACCCAGACCCCAACAGGCGAAGCCCACAGGCGGTTTCCTACCAGGGAGTCACAGCATCACCGGGTGGAGGGCAGGAAGCACCCGCCTCGGGGCAGAAGGTGGGCCCTGCAGGGCTGGGTGCCTGTGGGAGGGAGGGTGCCCTCGGCTCTGGACCACGGTCTCGGGCAGGGCTGCGGGAGGCCTCACGCCCAGGAGGACCGCAGTGACCCAGACCAGCTCAGGAGGCCTCTCCTCAGCCTCCTCCTGTGAGGACCTGTCAGTTGCTGCCCCGGGACCTCTCAGAGAACCCCAGGAGATACCGCGGGGGGGGGGGGCAGGAGGTCCACCGCATGGCCCCAGCATCCCCCGGGGGAGGCCCGCAGGCCCGGCGCTGTCTGAAGGGCTTTCTTTTCGACGTGCTGTAGTCAGTATCCCTCGCACCCACCACCAGCTCCTCGCGATGCTACCAGGGTCCCCAAGGGTCCCTTCTGGTTGGGCAGGCACTGACTGGCCAGACCCCCTGCACTTAGGTCAGGCCCCAGAGCAGGTCTCTCCTGACAGGAGCTGGGGAGCTGCGGCCCGGGCACCCCGGGCACCCCAGGCACCCCAGGCATGTTCCCAGGACACAGGGCGGCTGCCTGAGCGAGGCCAGGGAACCAGAGGAGTCCGAGGGGCACGCATCCGGCCAAGACCTGACCTTCCGGAGGCCAGAACGCGCTCGCTGTTTCCTGCTAACAGGACGCAGCCTGCTTTAGAGAGAAGAAGGGAAGGCGTACCCACGGCCTGGGCTGGGCGGCCAGGAGAGCGGGGAGGGCTACACTTTCCTGTTCTATCAGGGGCTTTGGGGAGCAGAGACACAGAGAGCCACCCCAGGGCAGGTGTGGTGACGCTGTGGTTCTGGAGGAGTCCGTAGCTCTCACCTGAGAGGCTGCCTGGGGGCCTCAGTGTCGCTTCTCGCCTTGTTCTGCTTTTCCTCTGGAGTCCGGGCCTTTGGGAGCCACTGCCCCACGGGAGGCTGCACACACGTGGCACCTGCAGCAGCACCGGAGGCCGGCTCGTGCCCCCAGAATCAATGCTCCGAGGCCACAGTCTTTTCTTGGTACCAGGGATTGAACCCGGGGGTGCGTAACCACTGAGCCCCACCCCAGTCTTTCTACTTTTTGTTTTGAGACAGGGTCTTCCTGAGTTGCTTAGGAGCCTACTAAGTTGCTGAGGCTGGCCTCAAACTTGTGGTCCTCTAGCCTCAGCCTTCCAAGTCACTGGGACCACAAGCCACCGTGGCCAGCTGGATGGTCTTCTATGGCTCTGTTCTCTGCCCGTCACTGACTCCCAATCCTCCAGGGAACCTCCTCCCTCCCACTGCCATTCCCCAGGAGTTAATGCTCCACAAATGGGGGTCCACCCTCCTCCCCCTACAGACAGTCCCTGGAAGCTTCCCCCCACCCCCTGGCAGGGGGATGCACAAGGCCAGCTATAGCCATCCGAGGGCAGGGGCGAGGGGGTCAGGCTGCCCAGAGCAGCAGCTGTCTGGACCCCGCAGCAACCCTGCATGCTTGAGGAAGCACGTCATGCGCACGCCTCATTTCACCAGCGACTTGCGGAACTAATATTTCAACGATACCCTGCCGTGGTCGACTCTGAGTGCAGAAAAACATACGTCTTCATTGCAAAGACTGCCCACCAAGGCGCACGAAGCCCTGTGTGCGTCGAGGCCCCTGGCAGCTGAGGTGCCCCTGGAAACAGGCTGCCTCCTAAGAACCGAGCCCTTCTCGGGACATTCCTTCAGTCTCTCCCTGCACCCGCCCCGTGCACTGCACCCAGCACAGCAGGCGCCCTTCTGAAGGAGCCTGTGCGAAAGCCAGAGGCTTGAAGTCCAGTAGAAAAACCCGGGACCTCGGAGCTCTGAGCCTGCTCAGCCAGACTGAATTCCACTGAAACAGCCCCCCAGCTCCCAGGAGGCGCGCCCTCGGGGGTCTCTGAGAACACGCCTGGGGGACGCCCCCCCTGCCTGGCAATTGCACAGCAGCGCTGATCAACCACACTGACCCCTCGGGCTGCTGCAGCTCTGGTCTGTAAAGCTGCTGGGGACACTGAATTAGTGGGTCCTGAGGCGCTGCGCCTGGGGACGTGCAGGGTGGGTTCTCCCCAGAGTCTGAGGGCACCCCTTCACGAGCTGATGAGACATTAAGACAGCTTCCCTGGTGGGCCAAGATGGCCCCTCACCACTGAGCCAGCCCAGCCCCCACACGCACTTCACCCCAGGGTCCGCCCTCGTGCACTGGGACTCCGGAGAGCGCTTCCACTGTGCCCTGGGACCCTGCTGGCCAGCAAAGTCATCCAAAAGGCACAGGAATTCAAAGGATGAGGCACCATGTGGATTGCAGAGGGGACCCAAGATTAGGGCACCACGTGGCTCAAGCAGTGGTGGCGGGAGGCAGGCGCTGCTCTGTTCACTCCGAGCTTGATCCAGGGTAGGACCACACAAGCTGCCTGGGCTCTGTGCCTCTCTGCAGGGACCTGGACTTCAGTGAGGAGGCAAGTTCAAGGTGCGGAACCTAAAGATGAGTCCTCCCCGAGGGCCTCTGCAGACGCCTCTGACTCTCCCCTCTCAGCTACACGGCGCCCCTCTGCGTCCTGCTCGGTCCCCTCCACCAGCCACTACAGGAAGGGAAGCCCGTGCGGAGGGTCCCTGCCACGCACAGCTGGGACAGCGGAGCCCCAGGCAGCTCTGGGCTGCCCAAGGCCCCTCTGCGCTACCTTCCTGGCTCAAACACTAAAGACCCGTGACGAGGAGACACAGGCGCAGAAGGAGCGCTCCAGGCACAGGGTCTTATGATCTGTCAGGAACAATTCTCTCCACGCCGTTAAAGCAGACACGCGTCTCTGAACGCCGACTGAATTCCACTGAAACGGCCCTCCCCCAGGGTCCCAGGTGGACTCTCCTGTTAGGCCGTCCCTCTGGCTGCAGGCCCAGGTGCTTCACTGCCTCAGATGGCCAGTGGCCCCAGGACCCGGGGGATGTGGGCCCAGGGACTGAGGGTCTGCAGGGGACAGAGGTCACAGTCAGCGCCAGGAAGAGAACCTGGGACTCCGGCCACCGCGGGAAGGGGTCAGCAGAGGACATCAAGATCCCAGGACCTGGGGCCTGCCAGGGAGGCCTTGCTGGGCAGGCCACCTTCCAGGCTGGGATGGCTGGTTTGAAGGGTCCATTCGCCTGGGCCCTGGGTGCCCTACACGAGCCCCGCCCCGGTGTGTGGGCCTATTTCACCTGGTGGGCTCCCACCACCCCAGCCCTGGGGTGTGAGAACAAAGGGTGGGGCGCGGGGAGCGCTCCCCCTGCCGGAGGGAACCATCTGAGCTGCCACTCACTCTCCTGCCCTGGGACTGGACCCCACCTGTCCACTCCCCCTGCTGGCTGGGTGCCTGGCCTCCATAACGGCAGGAGACACCGCCCTCCTCCGTCTTGTCCCGCCGTCCTGCTGTGCAGAGTGCAAAGTCCTCCGAGGAGGCGCGTCTGTGCCCAGGATGCTGCAGACCACCTGCCCTTGGCAGAGAGCCTGGTGACCGTGGAGAGGGGGAGAGAGGTCAGCACCAAGCGCAGCTCGGCTCTGAGGCCCTTTAATGGCCAATTACTCTCGACCTCTGCATCTGACTAATGTCCTTGAGACTCCTGGGAAAACCTTCAGGATGCCACCAGGCGGGGCAGACCCAGCCTCCAGCAGCCCAGAGCTGGAGAAGCGAGGGTGACCCTGGACCTGCTGGGAGGTCCCCACTCTGCTGGGCCACCTGCCCGAGGTGCCACCCAGGTGAGTGGACGGTGCACGGCTCATGACCCCTCCTGGTGATGAAAGTTCACATGACCTCCTCCACGTGGAGAGGCCACCCAGGCCACGGGAAGCTGGGTCCCCAGCCACGGTCACTCCTTTGGCTCAGAATGAAATGTTTTATTTCCTTTAAAACCCAGTCATTATTTTATGTCAATGATCACATAAACCCATATGCTCCTCACCAGGTCTGTTTCTCTAGAGAACTCTGCTCTGCACAAGACCTTCAACTCCACCAACAGCACGACCCAGACTCAGATGGACGCCACACCTGTTCCCCTGTGTGGAGCAGCCCGAGCCCCCCTCCACGGCCATTCAGGGGCCCTCCAGGAAAGGCGCGTCTGTTTGAAGGGAGAACAGTGATGGGCAGATGTCGAGGCAGCTGTCAGCCAGCCAGGAAGACTAATGCTGCAGGAGCAGACCAGGTCCAGGGGTAGACGGGGCGCATGGAGGCTGGTGGGGACCATCCGAGGGAGTGTGAGTCGGTTGCCAGGGCAACTCACCCCAGAAAGGCCCCGGGCGGAAGATGTGGCGGTCTCCCACCTGCTCCCAGCTGGACCATGGGATAATGGGGCTTGGAGAGTTGAGGCAGCACGTGGCTCCGGGGACAGGCATCTGCTTCAGAGCTGGTCTGGTGGGGCGAGGAGGACCAGGAGCTGCTTCCCTCCAACAGGAGCCACAGGGCAGAACGGGACCAAGGGAGGAAACAGGTCACCAGACTGGCAAGACCTGGTCATCGACAGAGGAGGGCAGTGCTGGCCAGTAAGGTCCAGCTGGTGACCCTGAACTTGGAGGGCAGGAGGTGCCCGGTCAACCCCACAGCAAGCCATCCAGAGAAACAAGTGGGAAGATGACATTCTGAAGAATGGATGGGGTCACCCAAAAGTGACTCCCCGTCTCCCAGGGGGCAGCAGCAGTGGGGAGCAGACCAAAGCCAACAGACTCAGGGCAGCTGTGGACGGGGCAAGGTGGCCAGGAGGAGCAGGTGGGTCAACAGGAAGAGAAATGTCACCCTCAGGACAGTGTGTAGAGGGCCTGCCACCTCCTTACTCTCCCCAGAGTGACGCAGAGTCTGAGCCACACTTCCATTCACTAGCCGTCCCCATGTGGTGACCAGAGGGCAGGCCCTGCAGTGACGCACGAGGAGCGTGGCGGACGGCGAGGACTCCCGGGTCTGGACACGGCTCTGTCGCGGCTCACTCAGCCTCTCTGCGGGCGGCTTCCTCGCCTGGAACAGGACGGTCTTGGGGCCTGCCAGGAAGGGCTGTGATGCCCCTTGGCTGCTGCCACAGATGGCCACGGGGCAGCTCTCAGTCCCGGAGGCGGGGTCCTCGACACAGGCAGGTCACATGCACCTCCCAGCGGCTCCAGAGCGGAAGGTCTCCCCCTCCAGGTCCCTGAGGCTGAGCTGTCCCCTGGCCGAGCCTCCATCCTCAAGGCCAGAGTGTGGCTCCTCCAGGCTTTCTTCTCCTCTGACTCAGACCCCACCCCCGCCTCCCCTGCTGGCCCCCTGACGGGCCCGGGGTCATGTCCCATCCACGTTCCCAGGCGTGGGGGGTTAGGTGGAGACCTGGGAGGCGTTAATCTGGCAGCCACAACATCTAAGGCAGGAGGTCCCACTGGCCACAGAAACAGGAGCCACCGGTGGCACGGGACAACCCCTGTAATGACCATGCCCGTGAGGCTGCTGACCAGGCTCCCGCAGAGAGGCCGGGCAGACGCCTCAGCCCAGAGCACACACGGTCTCCGTCACGCTACTCACTGCGGCTGGGGCAGCCCAGAAGCAGCCACAGGCACTGTCAGCGTCTGGGTGGGGCCATGTTCCAATAAAACTTTATTGACACAGATGTGGCCTGACCCTGACAGAGTGCTTTCTGTGTCCTTTTTCCTCCTCGCAGGGCCTTGGCATGCTGGGCGAGCCTCACCACTGAGCCTCTACCACCCCAGCCCCAGGTTTTCTTGGTTCCAGGCAGCCCTGGGCTCCCCTCTGCAGGGGTCTCCCTGTGGGGAGCAGTGTGCGCTCCCCTTCCCCTGAGGTCAGGTCTGTGTCCCTCTGCTCTTCCTGCCTGAGAACGCCAGCATCTCCTTCCACCTGGTTGCTGGGACGAGATGAAACTGTCCCAAAGCCACAGCTGCACACAGATGTAGGCACCATATGGACGAAAGCCACCGGCAGTGTGGGATGCTTGTTACCAGGCGGAACCTTGTCGACACTGACCAGCACGGTCAGTGTCAGGTGCTATTGTACCCGCTGTTTCCACATACCCTGGCTCTTTCCTCCCTACCCCTCTGGCCGCTGTGGGAGGCTGAGCCTGAGACATTCCCAAGTCACTGCCAGGTCCGGGGAGGCAATCGGCGTCCGAGGTGGCAATCGGCGTCCGAGGTGATCTTGCAAAGGCAGATGCATTTCCAACGGGGGGAAGCACAGGAGCCGCCACGGACGGATGGCTGCACAAAGGCAGCCCCCACCCTGGACATCGCTCAAGAGGGGTGAAGCACTGACCTGTGCTACAACAGAACCTGGAGGGCACGGTGCTGCGGAGAGGAGCCCACGCCAAGCCACAGGCCAAGTGGCTCCACCGTATGTGCTGTCCCCAAGGACACACCGGGACAGAGGTGGGCTTGAGGTTGCTGGTGGCTGGGGGCGGTGCCGGGTTACAGCAAGAGTGTCCTTTAGAGGGGATGGAAACATTCTAGAATGGCCGTGATGCTGGCTCCCAGTTCTGCAAACACAGCAGACCCTGCCTCGGCCCCTCTGCATAGCCCGTGTCAAGCAAGCAAGTGCAGAGCAAGAGCTGAGGACCCTGGACAGGCACCCCACACCCCCTCCTCACCCGTCCTCAGGGCCAGTGGGACAAGGTTCCCTGGACCAGGGTCAGCACTGCCCACATGGCCACACTGGGTCAGGACAAGGCGCCTGGCAACCCTCTAGCTGTGCCTGCCTGGTTCTGCCCGGTCCTGCCTGGTACGGTCAGTGTGGTCTAGGTCAGCTTTAAGACCTCGCGGCCTTCCTAAAGGACGACCTTGGTGCCAACGATGCGACCCTGGATCAAAGACACAGGTGGCACTGGCTGTCCACGGGAGAGGGAGGTGCCAGCCTAACTGCAGTCACAGACACAAAGACACCTAGAAACACCTCTCTGCCGCGTAGGCACAGGGGCTCTGCCCCCCGCTGCCTGGCGAGGGCCATCCTTCGTATTTCGCAAGAGGAATGAAGCACGTCGTCCGTTTTCAAGCAGAAATCTGGCGACTCAAAATCAGCCTCACAAATACTCTGAAAGTGCCCGGAAACGGAGTCTCGTGCCATCCCTGTCCCCTATCTCTACCAGCCACTCTCAAAACTGTCACGGTCTCTGTGACACCCTGTCTCCCATGAAAGGCCTTTACAACTGAAAATATGACATTCTTGGAAGAAAATAAAACATCAGCTGGCTGGACACCTGGCTCTGGACACAGCTGGCTGGCCGTGGCAGGGACATCCACATTGAGGTCGGAGCTCAAATCCCAACGGGTCCCTCTGAGGACGCAGGCAGGTCTCTGACGAGAGCCACGGGCAGTAGCCATCCCCAGTGCACCTGCTCTGACCTGTAGCCACACCTCGTCTCAGACGTCCCAGACCCGGAGGAACAAGGGACCTCAGCCCCACCAGCACCTGGTCTTTGCTGGTCAGTGCACCAGCTGTCCAGCCAGGGGGGAGCAGATCCTCAGAAATCACCCAGACAACAGGTGGCTCCATGTCACCAAACCTGGCCAGCTCCAGGACGCTGGAACCTTCTTTACAAACATCCGAGCCACTGCCTCGAGCCCTGCCTCCAGCCACATAAGCCCAAAGCAAAGGAAGCCCAGAGGCAGCTGAGGGCCAGCGGCCTCCCAGAGCCTACAGGTCCACTGCCCAGGGCCTCCTCACCACCTCCTACTTGCGCTACCCGCTCCTGACAGTATTGGGGCGCCCACAGCAGGACCGCCAAACACAGCCGCTGCTCAGAGGGGCACAGGCGGAGCGGCACGGGACCTTCAGACCCCACGTGAGGTCCACCTCCCGGAGCAGGATGGGTGTGCGGCTAGGTGGACGGCAGCCTGGGTCCGAAGGGCGTCCGTCAGCAGACACTCGAGGAAGCAAACAGCCGTCCAGCTGCGCAGGGGCCGGTTCTTCAGCCTTGAAAAGGAAGGGAATTCTACCCAGGCCCCGGCGTGGATGGACAACAGGGACACCGTGCTAAATCCGACAAGCCACTCTCAACAGGACCAAAACCACAGAGGCAGACGCAGGACGGGGAGCTGGGCTGCAGGGGGTGGGCAGGTTTAACGGGACAGTTTCATCCTGGGAAGAGGGGAATGATCCAGAGATGGACGGCGGTGACGGCTGCATGGCCGCGTGAACACACCCCGTGTCCCTGAACCGCGCACGTGACACAGCGACATGGCTGATTCTACGTTGTAGATAATTTACACAGTTGAAAATTACCTGGATTTCCTGGTTATTTGAAAAGCAGGAGGTTTGGCAACGAGCTGTATACTTATTGCAATTTTTAAAAAGCAGCAATGATGTCCACGGTGCCACTCACACAGCACGGGAGGACCAGGTGCCCACGGCTCGCAGTGATGGGGCCCGCATCTGCCAGCCCCCACCTGGCCAGATGCCCAAGCGGCTCGTGGCCTGGGGACCCTCAAACACAGGGGCTGCCCTCCCGAGAGGCACCTTCTCCAGCCCGCCCAGGCTCCGAAGGCAGAGGAGAGCCTGGCTGGTCCCCAGGGCCCCCCTCAAAGGTCGTCCCCAGCACGCATTGCAGCAGTAAGGACCATGCGTCATTACTCCAGGCCACCACCAGTCACTCGTGCTGATTACCTCAGGTGGGTGACAGCAGGGACAGTGATGAGACATCGTGAAGACTTCTTGGCTACGATTCAGGCCTGTGTGAGGGGAGCCGTGCGGGGCCCCGGAGCGCCCCGGCCAGCCTGCACCCTGGCACTCACCCGAGGGGCTTCCTGTGGAGGCGGTGAGAGCAGGGGCCTGGCCACTGTGAAGCGTCCTGTCCCCAGCTTTCCCCTAAGCGTGTGCTGAATGGTGGACTAACCCGGTAGTGGGGGGACCGGTGGGTGGAGACCTAGTGGTACGTGGCTGTCCTCAGAGGAGCACGTCCCTCAGGAACACCGTGGTCCAGTCTGGCCTCACCGAGGGGGCACAGCACACCTGCAGGGCTGCTGGGCAGCGCTGTGGGCCAGAAGTGACCACAGTGACTCACCCTGACGATGATGGATGAATGATCTGAAATGCCACCAGAGCTCCCAAGAAGGGCAGAGCTGTCACCGTGTAAGAGACAGAGGACCTGAGGCTCCGAGGGACGTTGCCAAGGAGACGGCAGGTCCAGTGCAGCCCGTTCACCGTCCCGATGCCTGGGCTTGGCTCTGAGACAGGGGCCCCTCCTGGATGGGCTGGTTCTGCCAGGGACCCAGGCGAGGCCAGGCAGGGCTCTGTCACGTGGAGGAGGGTCAGAGCTGGCCTGGCCTCAGGCTCCCCACTGTCGCGTGGCTTGTGTTTGAGTCACCTCCCTGCACAGGAGCACTGAGTCCTAATTAGTGGCTAGCTGGGACGCGTGGTTAGCTGGGGCGAGGGCAGGAGTCACGGTCAGGCCGGTGGGCCAAGGGCACCGCAGAGAGCCCAGAATCCCCCTCAGGAGGTCACTTTGGGGCCTGTCAATCTTTCCAACATCCTGCAACCTAAGATGACACTGGCTGTCTCCTGTCTGGAAACCAGGGCCTCTCTGACCCTGAGACGCCCCCACTCTTTATCAGTTAACCAACAAACACACCTGGTATGCGCCAGGCCCCAAGCTGCGTAGCTGACCGTAATTAATTGATAAATAAAAACACAAACTCTGCCAGGTGCATCGGCCACACGGGTCATCCCAGAAGCTCAGGAGGCTGAGGCAGGAGGATTGTGAGTTCAAAGCCAGCCTCAGCAACTTAGCGAAGCCCCAAGCAACTCGCAGGACCCTGTCTCTAAATTAAAAATTTTTTAAAAAAGGGGGGCTGAGGACGTGGCTCAGTGGTTATACGCCCCTGGGTTCAATCCCTGGTCTCCAAACAACAAAAACCCCAAGCTCCATCCCAAAAGATCTTTCCAGGACCTGAGAGGCCTCCCAAGACCACGCGGCTGGGAGAGTTCTTAAACCCCGCACATTCTGAAGGCAGACGGATCTCTGGAGGAGTGTCTTTGTGACATCGTGAACAAGGTCCTCTGCTCCTGGTCCTGCGAGTCCTTCCAACCCTGCAGGGATGTGGAGGTGTCTGTCACAGGCAGAGACTCAGGCCCACAGGGGACTGTCCCTGGCCCAGCAGCAATGTCTGGAGGGTGGCAGGAAGCTCCCGTCCTGGCTGCTGCCTCCCACTGATGAGCTCAGCCTGGCCTTGTGACTGTCATGCCTGCTGGGGGTCCTCTCTCCTGAACCAACACCATCCCTTAACTCCAGGCCTCTGGGGCCTCTGCTCAACATGGTTTTAAAACACACCAAGGAGAAGGCTCGTGATTGGCCGCCAGCTTGAGGGTGTCAGTACCTTAAAGCAACAGCAGGAGCCCAGCGGAGGGTGCCCACCGGGCCCTCCACGGCCGCCACACTGCTTCCTTGCACAACAGCCGCCTTCCCGGGCCTGGCATTCTGGGCCCTTTCCTCCCCTAGAGCTCCTGATTGACATGACCTTTACGAAGTGTCACTGCCAGCTGTCACTCTCTTTGGAAGCATTAGGTGCACATTTCTGACCTGCCCCAAAACCCAGTTCTCCACTTGACTCTGGGCATCGCCCACTGACCCCGGACACACTCTCACACTCTCCCATGGAGACACACACACACACACACACCCGGCTGCTGCAGGCCTGACACTGCGGTGGCCCCTGGGGAAGGTGAAGGAACTCTACCAACACTGGGCTGAGGAGCCAGGGATCCACAATGCTGCTCCCAAGATGGCGGCCACCAAGCACATGCAAGGCACGCAACGTGACAGTGGGCTCAACGTCACCCTCTTTGAAACGGCCCAAGTGTCCCGTGGCTCCTGTGTGGGATCGTGGGCCCTAGGACATTTTGCTGAGCCCTCGCGCTCGCCCATGATGCTCTCGTGATAACGCTGCTCTTCAGGGCAACTGTCACGTCTGTGGGACACAGGGACATTTTCAAGTTTGGTAGGGACATCAACTGAACAGATCCTCGGTCTTCACAGTGCCCTGCCCGGAGCCCCCCAGCAGTCCCTAGACTCTCCAGCCTCGCCCTGGCCGAGGCACCAGCGCCATCTTGCCTTCTGAGGGTCCTTTCTCTGGGTGGTTCTCTCCTGAGCCAGTCACCTGGGACTCTGGGAGCAACAGGCCCGGTGGACAAGCACCTGGACAAGTTGGAAGCACCCTGAGGCACCATGGCTCCCTCACCTTGGCGAGGCCCCGTGTGGCTGGTCTGAAGGGACCCCTGGCTGTGCGCACTTCCTGCCCGGGTTGGCTCCTCCCTGTCCAACCCCGGGCCCCCAGCCCCCATCCAGGTGTGGCCACACCAAACACAAGCTCCCTTCCACTTCAGCCTCACAGTGCCACTGGGCTCTGTTGGGGGGTGAGTGGCTGCACAGGTACATGGGACTCCCCAGGGTCAGCCTTGCTGGCCCGGACGTCAGCAACAGTGACCATGAGACGGCCTCATTTTCCTGGTTTCTGTAAGGTGTCCTCGCACGTTATCAAGTCCAAGGTGAGGATCAGGGAAACCCCAGCTACTCCAGCAGCGGAGGCAGAGGCCACGGCCTGGACCTGCAGCTGGAGTCTGAGGTGGACAGCCGGGTCAGGGGCTGGCAGGCCTGCACCTCAGCGGAGGGATCTGTGCTAAGCCCAGGGAGTCAGGTCCCAGTGAGCTGAACTGCATGCAGGACACTGCAGGACCTGTTGCCGAGTCCTGCCGAGCATCGGGCAGCGTCCCACACGGGCCTCCCCTGGTGTGCTCGTGTGCGGCTCCCCCCATGTGGCCCCAGCTCCCTGCAGGCCAGCAGACAGGAGCCCTGCCCCGCGCCCTGACCAACACCCCTTCCACAGAGCCTGCTTCATCCTCCGCCTCCGTGCTCTGAGACCTCCTCCTCCTCTGGGCTGTGCTCCCCACGGTCCCCTACACGCAGGGCCAGACCTCTGGCTCCTGGCTGATCCAGGCCTGTGGCTGGTGCCAGCCAGGCTCAGAGGAGCGTGTGGGTGGTGCCCTCCAAAGGCTGCTTCTGGGTCTGCCAACAGGACACGGCCCCCACCCTGGCACCCCTCCTCCCATCTCCCCAGCCTCCTGGCCCCTGCGGGCCCTGCTTCTCCCTCTCTGGCTGACCTCCCCTCCAGAGGCAGACCAACACTTGGTCACCCAGAGCCGGGAGGGGGAGGGTCAAGCTGGGGCGGTCTTTGGGGCAAGGGTCTATCGTAGACCATCACACTGGGTGGGCTGCAGGGGCCTGGGGTCACCCCGAGCAGGAGAGGTGGAGAGGGTGCCCATGACTACTCCTGAGCTGATGGGGACCCTGGGCCACACTGCTCCTGGTGGTGGGGACACCATGCCAACTCCTGCCCGGGCTGGATCACAGGTACACACTGCTCCAGGGGAGCCGAGCCTGTGCATACACATGGTGCATATCTCACGTGGAGTTTGCAACCGGCCTGCCGGCTCATGCCACTCGCAACCCAGACGGCCACCCAACGAGGGCACATCCTGGGACCCAGCTCCCAGAGCCACGGGACAGCCGCAGCTCGTGGTTCCACCAAACCGCTGTGCAGGAAAGAGGCCCCGTAGGCACCTGGAGGGCCTGATGGGCGGGCTTCATCACTTCCCCAGGGAAAGTGCCACTTTCAGAACCGCAACGTCATCCGCAAAGCCAGAGGGACGTCCCTGCTGCCAGTCCATGAACTGAGCATCTGTTTCAAAATGGGGCAATGAGAAGAGCTGTGAGGGCTGGTCACGCGCACAGGGCTCCGTGCTTCACCTGGTGCCCGTGTGACACAGGTGGCTCCTCTCCCCGCGGCTGAACGGCTCAGTGCAGGGCGGTTCCCAGCTGCACACGGTCATCATGTCCAAGCGCGAGGCACCAGGCTGGCGCAGGGGTGCAGGCGCAGGGGTGCAGGCCCAGGGGCGCAGGCCCAGGGGCGCAGGCCCAGGGGTGCAGGCCCAGGGGCGCAGGCCCAGGGGCGCAGGCCCAGGCCTCAGCCGGGGATCCTTCCCCAAGCAGCAGTGTGCCGCCCCTCACGCCCGCGTCCCCGCGAACATGGACGCAATCCCCGTGCTGTGACACTGACACCATGGCTATGACCTCGCCAGGCCATCGTGATCTCCAGGGCCAGCCTGCGTGTGGCCCAAGTGGATCAAAACGTCCTGTGGGGCTGGGGATGTGGCTCAAGCGGTAGCGCACTCGCCTGGCATGCGAGGGGTGCTGGGTTCGACCCTCAGCACCTCATAAAGATAAAATAAAGATGTTGTGTCCACCGAAAACTGAAAATATTTTAAAATTCTCTCTCTCTCTCTCCTCTCTCTCTCTCTCTCTTAGAAAAAAAAAAGAAAAGTCCTGTGCAGCGTGACTTACAGGAGACCCCAGGGCTGGAGAATGGACACTGGGTGTGACGTCTCAGGAGCTCACGGTCACGGGTGGATCCTCCCCAGGGACTGTGCTGTAGAAGGGCCACAGCCCCCAGAGCTTCCCCCGGGCACTGAGCATGAAGAGGCCAGGAAACAGAAGGTCTCCAAGGGCCTCCACGTGCACCTGTGAGCACCTGCTCTGCCGGGGGGCAGCCGGCACGGGACAGGAGCTCTCTCCTAACTCACAAGACGCTGCAGGGCTGCTCCTCGTTCCTGGCCTTGGCTGTCCTCCTGTGTGACATGCAGTGCAGAGGTCAAGGCAAAGGACAGGTCCGGTGTCCAGCCCTCCGCATGCTGTCCTCTTATGAGCTGTGCCTGGGGCCCAGCTCTTCACAGTGCTGCCCACGGAGAGCCTGGCTCGTGACCGCGTAGGTCTTGCCTTCCAGCGGGGCCTCATGCTTCTACCGGTTACAACCAGACTCGGGGCCATTCTGGATGCCCGCGGTGGCCATCTCCTTTCCTCTCTCTTTCCCGCCTTCCCTCTGCTCCTGACACGCACACCAGCCCCTCCACCGCTCTCCCCTGCACCCTGCCCCGACCGGGGTCTTTCTGTTTTTAATCCTCTTCCCTTTCTGATTCTCGCCGTCTTCAGGATCAGGACGTCTGCTGCCTTGAACAGCCTGAAGCAGAAGGGTTCCTGGTGGTCACTGCACACCAAGCGGCCAGGGAAGCTACCATCTTCCTCACTCCCGACCCCAGAGCCCAGGGCTGCAAGGCAGGAGTCAGGGACACCGACTCCGCCACGAACCGATTTTGGAATTCCAGCTAATCGTCTCTCTGTATCTGCTTTTCTCCCATAAATTGAAACAAAAAGGCCTACGTCACTGGGTTGTTCCACAGTAAGTGAGAAAACATATGAGAGTATTTGTGAGCTTCAGAACTCATGAGAGTGAAGAGATCCGCCACTCCCACCATCCTACCACCATGCGTGACTTCATCACCACCACCACCACCACCACCACCACCATCTTCATCACCAAGGTGACCACTGTCACCACCACCACCGTCACCACCACCACCACCATCACCATCTTCATCACCATGATGGCCACTGACACCATCACCATCATCATCACCACCATCATCTTCATCACGAAGGTGACCACTGTCACCACCACCATCGTCATCACCACCACCACCACCATCACCATCTTCATCACCATGATGGCCACTGACACCATCACCATCATCATCACCACCATCATCACCATCGTCATCATCACTACCGCCACCATCTTCACCATCACCATCTCATCACCACGATCACCATCTTTATCACCATCACCATTGTCATTGATGTCACCACCACCATCAGCAGTACCTCCATTGGTGTTGAAGATAAATCCACATTTTTAAAAAATATTTTCCAGTTGTAGATGGACACACCCCTTTTCTTTAATGTGGTGCTGAGGATAGAACCCAGTGCCTCACACGTACACGGCAAGCGCTATGCCGCTGAGCCACAGCCCTGGTCCCAGCTCACGTTTTAAATGCTGCTCCTCCTCTTGTCTCTTTCCTTGGAGAGTCACTTCTGTCTGGTGAGGGTAAGAGTCCCTGCTCATGGACACAGAGCCCAGACCCTGTCCCCAGAGCTTCCGGTTCCAAGGTGAGGGTGCAGCCTGAGAACCGGCATTTCTCTCAAGTTCCTGATGCTGCTGGCCCAGCATCTGGGTCAAGGAGCAATCAAAGGCACAGCCAGAGGAACTCGCCACATCCCCAGACTCCTTACGGAAGCCTGGACAGCTCCGAGGCTTTCCAGTTGAGCACATCTGACCCTCTGAAACGATGCAGCCACCCATCGTGTCCCTGGGGGACCCAACGCTAAACGATGCACTTTCCTAACGGGGAGGGGAGGACTGTGAATGAAAGATGAAGCCGAGGCCATTTTCCAGGCCAGGACCCGCAGAGTGAACCAGCCACTATGCAGAGACAGGGCAGGAGATGGGGAGGAGGAACCTGGCTCCCGAGTCAGCGCAGGAGTCCAGCAGGAAGGTGCCATCGGCAGGCTGCAGCCCCACTGGTTACATGAGCAACATCTGGAGGGCACAAGTCTGGCCAGTTCATCAGGATTTCTGCATCAGTGTCACTGGGAACCATTCGTGGCATCTGACTGGTTGCTGTTAGCCACAGAAAGGGACCGTGTAGCCTTGCTCGGGTGCTGCTAGGTGCTGAGGGTGTGTGGACACTCCACGAGACACTTGCAGGCAGGGCGTCCCTGTCCCACGCTCAGTGACAGGAGGGCCTCTAGGCCCTGGACGACCTGCCTCCCTGAGGCATCGTGAGTCAGTTTCTGCACGAGTGTGGGGCCCAGGAAGGTCCCTTGTGCCATCAGTGCTCACCGGGACTCGGGGGCCATGGCTGCTGTGTCTTCGAAACTGATGCAACTTCGTGTCTTTTTTTTTTTTTAAGAATCAAAGAAATACATATTTCATGGCAAAAATAAATTCCTGAAACCAAGCCCTCCCCCCCATCCCCCCCCATAGCTGACCCCAAAGGACAAGGCAGGCGCACGTTCCCACAGGAAGAGGAACTTTCCTTGCAGAGTAAAGACACCCTTCCCAGGCCCAGCGCAGACCAGCAATCGCTGTGCAAGCCACTCCCGTCACACCCGTGCAACTCAGCGTCAACACTGAGTCCAGGTGGGGACCAGAGGACTCCGGGGACGGCGCCATCGCACTTTCAAGACATCAAGTCTGTATCGTTAGTGACATCCGAGAAGATACCAGGAAGCTCACGGGAGACCAGTCCCCAGTCCGACTCCTCCCAGCCGGGAGATGTGATCACTTCCTTAAGGAGCATCGCCGTCTCTTCAGTTTCCAGGTCCAGCGGGTGGACCTGGGTCTAGTATCCACCGTGTCTAACTCAGCGCGTCCACCGACACACGTTCACCGACACACGCACACACCCCGGTATCTCTGCACTCTGAACTAGCCGCCATCTGACAGAAACCACCACACTCATATGGGTCTGGCCCACAGAACCAGGCCTGGCGGCAGAACCATGCCCCGTCTGCCCTGAAAAGAAGGCAGCCCGATGCCCAGGGCAGGGCAAACCCGAAGACGTCACAGAGAGGCCAAAGGCAGGAAGCCAGTGTGGTGAGTCCCGTGTGGAATGTGCGGAGCAGACGGATCTGCAGAGACGGAGGGGAGCCCCGGCCTCCCGAGACCAGGGCAGGGAGAGTGGTGCGCGCCAGAGCGTCTCCTGGCGCCTGAGCAACATGGCGGAGGTGTGGGTGCCAGGGATCGTGCTCCTAGGTGGTTACGATACCACCTTTGTGTATTTTGTCCGATTTTCTTCACTTAGGCCCAGGGTTGTGTGCCGCACCCTGGAACCCCAGGGGGTCACTCTCCCTCCACCCTGGGGTGATGCATGGTGTGGTGCCACTGGACAGCAAGCCCCTCCCCGTGACACGTGCCCTCTTCTGTGGACCGGCAGCAGAGCCCATCTTTCTAAAGAGCATCAGAGAGCAGCCAAGTCTTGGTTGCTTTTCCAGTGCTCTCCTGGCGACCTGTGCGCGTCACCTACCTGCTCAACCTAACAGCAAGGAGGCCCCGGGAGCAGCCTTCACACGTGAAACGCAACCCAGGCCCCACGCTCGATGCCCTGCACAGGGACCCTAAACCTCCACCTCAAGGCCACGCGAGGCCCCCTGCCACCAGGACCCTCTTTACCTGGAATGGCGTCTGGCTGTTGTAGTTCTTCAGTTCCTTGTTTCCGCCCCGAAACAGGAGCACGCGCGCGCAGCTGTCCTGAAATCCAAGAGAAGAAGCTGCTGTGACGCCGTGGCCGGGACCATGTCCCCCAGCCCCGCTCACAGGAGTCCCCGACACCTGCAGGCACAGCGGGGTCCAGGCTCCCACTGCTGGGGCACAGGTGACACCAGTGTGCCCCACACAGGGCGAGGCCTGGCTGCCTTCAGGGCTCACTGTGACCAAGCCACTCCCCCGGGAGGTGGCACTGACAGAACGTCTTGTCAACCTAACGGATGAAACGCCCACTCTCCTGAGAGAGCGACAGGAAGGGGAACCCGCAGGGGCGTAAAGGGGGGGCCAGGACACCCTCACCCAGGCCACGGCAGGGCCAACGCCGAGGGCCGGGGGGCTCCCAGCAGGGAGGGCAGCCTCCCCCCAAAGGGCAGTTGAGGCCCATAGTGTGTGTTTTCTGCCTGTTTTGGAGCTGGGGACTGAAGTCGGGAGCACTGCCACCAAGCTACGTCCCCAGTCCCCTTGATTCTGAGACAGGGCCTTGCTAAGTTTCTGGGGGTCTCGAAATTCGCCCAGGTTGGCCTGGGACCTGTGATCCTCCTGCCTCAGCCTCCTGGCCTCTGGGATCACGGGAACGTCTGCTGCGCCCCAGCTGCACGGGCACCTTAAAAGCTGAGAGTCCAGTAGGAACACAGAGGCAGCGTCTGGGGGACGTGCGGCAGCACCGACTCCCCGGGAGGGAGGGTCAGGGCCAGAGCCGCAGGACGTCCTCCACGGACATTCACGTGTTTTCACGTTGGGAGGAGCCGCCAAGCCACTTCCTGTGAGTTTTCACAGTGAGAAGGAATCCACCCTATTCACTTGGGCCTGGGGCCGATGAGATGGGAACCTCCTGCCGTCTCTCCAGAAGTTCCCAGTGAGGACTACGGGACGAACACTACGGAGAAGAAGGCCGATGGCAGAGAATCAAAGAACAGGCACTGGCTATGGACAGGGTCACGTTCTCCCGTGATTTTGCCATTGTCCAAACGTGACAGAATCCACTTACACAAGCGAAGAGGCCTCACACGGCCCCAGGCCACATAACCTTACGGAATCCCCACTGCATGTGGCTGTCGCTGACCGGAAGGCCACAGTGCGCTGCATGAGAGAATACTTCTGCCTAGCAAATGCCGTTGGCTATTTAGAGTAAGTGTGGCTCTGGACGAGCATGGAGATGACGGACGTAGGTGGACAGTGGGCAGCACACATCAGGCCAGGCAGCCCACTGCGGAGGTGGGCACTTTCCTCCTGAGCCGGGGCCTGTGCACAGCACAGCCGAATGTCAGGGACCCCACCTTCACCTGCGCTCAGGGACGGGGTCGGGAAGGATCACCTGGACCTGACACTCCACATGCTCTCTCCACGAAGGGATGCTTGAAACAGCCAGCCAGGCCACCACCAGGGAGCTACAGGACACGGCGGGTCGCAGGACCCTGGCCCCAGACCAGGAGGGGAGCCTGCAGTGGGGACCTGCAGGGGCCGGGGTGGGACAGTGCACAGGCCCTAGGACCTGGCAGGACAGCAGCTCTGACAGAGCCCCACATCCAGAGCAGAGAGCAGGCAAACGACTGCCCAGGCCCGGAGGGCCAGAGGGCCAGAGCACAGCTCACTGCGCAGGGCTCCTGCTGGGAGGGCCAGAGGGCCAGAGCACAGCTCACTGTGCAGGGCTCCTGCTGGGAGGGCCAGAGGGCCAGAGGGTCAGAGCACAGCTCACTGCGCAGGGCTCCTGCTGGGAGGGCCGGAGGGCCAGAGGGCCAGAGCACAGCTCACTGTGCAGGGCTCCTGCTGGGAGGGCCGGAGGGCCAGAGGGCCAGAGCACAGCTCACTGTGCAGGGCTCCTGCTGGGAGGGCCGGAGGGCCAGAGGGCCAGAGCACAGCTCACTGTGCAGGGCTCCTGCTGGGAGGCCCGGAGGGCCAGAGGGCCAGAGCACAGCTCACTGTGCAGGGCTCCTGCTGGGGGCAGTGTCCTGAGGTGACTGCGGCGATGGGCAGAGAAGGGCAGAGCTCACTGCACTGGGCACCTTACCTGGGGACTGAGCGGCTTGTGACTCACATCTCAATAAACACACTTAGGAGAATGAAA